ACGAAGGAAATAGTCCGGGTCCTCAAAGACATGGTCAAGAGCAATATTGTTGAGAACACGTAGGCAAAAATCCGCGTTGAAGTCTTGTGAGTCGGAAATCCACCCCTTTTTACAATAAGAGGAGACTCCTTGACGCTCTAGGTGGAACCACTCGGAAAGGTTTTGGGTGTTGAATCCGAAGGTTTTGCCGGCAACAACAGCGGTAATGGAAGGGTCTTGCTTATGGTATCTTAATGAGGAATAAAATTGATGAACAAGTTCCGGGTAAACGGGGGCGTGGAGTTGAAGAAAGAAACTCCATCCTTGTTCATGAATGAGTTCAAGAACGGCAACGGGTATGTCATCTTGTTTAAGAGTTCTCCCCTCGATGATATGTGGGTCGGCGTAAGCCTTGAACCCTTCTTGAGCATCGACATGAACGTCGGAGACAATTTCGCTCATTTTGAGAGAAAATTGAGAATGGAAGGATTTTGGGAGAAAAAGTGAGAAATTGATACAAAATACCCGAATTGAAGAGAGTATGTGAAGAATTTGAACCTAATGTTTGAAGAAATTGAGGAATTTAGATGAGGAATTTACCTTGGTTCGAAACACGGGAGAGAGATGCCGAGAGGAATCGCCGAAAGTTGCAGAGCGAAACTGAGAAAATTGGTTCGATTTAGGGTTTTTAATGTAGGTTGACCCGCAGAGACGGTCGGTACCTCGGTACCGTGTGAACGGTACCCTGGTACCGTGTATACGGTATGCCTTACCGTGTCCAGATACCGTGTAACGTTCAAAACCCAATTCCCTCTGGCGGTATCTGCGTCCAAACAGCATCCTGGTACCGTAGTAACGGTAGGCTCTACCGTGTGGGCAGTACTGGGTCCCGTCAGTGTATCCTGGTACGTTTTTCATTGGCATCCTGGTACGTTTTTCATCCAATGGTTTTGTAAAAATGTCGGCACGTTGTTCAAGTGTATTTACATATTCAATTTGAATATCTCCCTTTGAAACATGATCACGTATGAAATGATGTCTTATTTCTATATGTTTAGTTCTAGAATGCAAAACGGGATTTTTGGAAATATTTATTGCACTTGAATTGTCACAAAAAATAGGCACTTTTGAAAATTTTAAGTTAAAGTCACCTAGTGTTTGCATCATCCATAAAATTTGAGCAACACAACTACCCATAGCCACATATTCCGCTTCAGCGGTGGATAGGGCGGCGGAGTGTTGTTTCTTAGATGACCAAGACACTAGTGCATGACCTATGAATTGACATGTGCCACTTGTGCTTTTCCGATCAATACGACACCCTCCAAAATCGGCATCACTAAAACCTATCAAGCTTAAATTCGTATTCTTAGGATACCATAAACTCATATTAGTCGTTCCCTTGACATAACGAATTATTCGCTTGACGGCATTTAGATGTGATTCTTTAGGTGATGATTGGAAACGTGCACAAAGGCAAACGGAAAACATTATATCGGGTCTAGATGCAGTTAAATAAAGCAAACTACCAATCATACTTCGATATACCTTTTCATTTACGGGTTTTCCGCTTTCGTCGCTATCAAACTTCAAGGATGTGCTCATTGGAGTTGGATATATTTTTGAATCTTCAAGGTTGAACTTTTTGACTAATTCTTTGGCATACTTGGTTTGACTAATGAAAATGCCATCTCCAAGTTGCTTAATTTGAAGACCAAGTAAAAAGTTCAACTCACCCATCATGATCATTTCAAATTCGCTTGTCATGATTCCTGAAAATTCATTACATAAAGCTTCATTGGTTGACCCAAATATAATGGCATCAACATAAATTTGCACAATTATGAGATCTTTTCCTTTTGTTTTGACAAAAAGTGTAGAATCGATCTTTCCTTTTGCAAACCCATGTGAGATTGGATGTTCGGTAAGCCGCTCATACCAAGCTCTAGGAGCTTGTTTGAGTCCATAAAGGGCCTTATGAAGTTTAAAAACATGATTTGGAAAATCAGGATTTTCAAAACCGGAAGGTTGTTCAACATAAACTTATTCTTTTAACCATCCATTTGAAAAAGTTTGAAATTAAGAGCACTTGCAAAAGCTAATAACATACGAATTAATTCAAGCCTAGCAACCGGAGCAAAAGTTTCATCATAGTCAAGTCTTTCAACTTGGCTATAGCCTTTAGCAACAAGTCGACTTTTATTAGTGATAATAACACCATTTTCATCAAGCTTGTTTCTAAAGACCCATTTAGTGCCCACAACGGGTTGGGTTTCTAGTCTTTCGACTAGTTCCCAAACCTTGTTGCGTTCAAATTGCTCAAGCTCTAGTTGCATGGATATAATCCAATCACTATCTTTTAGTGCATCTTCTACGTTCTTAGGTTCAAATTGACTAACGAACGCATAGTGTGCACAAAGATTGTAATTGTTCCTAGTTCTAACTCCCTTTTCAATATCTCCAATGATAGTGTCTCTTGGATGATTCTTCAAGTGTTTGTATGCCTTCGGTAGTTCCTTCTTTGCACTTTCTTCTTCTTGCGCAGGAATTTCCAGGATTTCCTCTTCCTCTTCTTCTTCATTTGAACCTGCAATTACCTTACTCGACCCAAAGGGATCGGTTTCATCAAATTTTACATGCATAGATTCTTCTACTTTATGATTTGATTTATTATATACCCTATAGGCTCTACTATTTGTTGAATAACCAAGGAAAATTCCTTCATTTGATTT